ATCACTGGGGGGGGGGGCGGATGAAAAATCTGAATCTTTAAAATTACTAGTTTGTTGCTACTAGTGGTTAAAAAGAAAAAGGTTTTCCTTCCTTACACGTGTAAAAAGTAAGAATATTTGATATCAGAATCTATGGTTCTCTCTATACTAAGTTACTACAGACAGCAACCGATAATAAAACTGACCTTCACAATGAAAAAAAACAAACTCGCTGTACGAGTAGGCCTACTGGAAAATACTGTGTTATTGTGTCTAGTCATACGTCTCCACGTTGAGGCATCGCATTGTTGAATATTATAAACTAACGAGCGATAGCAAAGTAGAATATATTATAATATGTGAATCACACTACATCTGCTACAACTAGCGCCGACGATGTTCGCTGTGAACCACCAAATATATAAATAATAAATTCTACTTGTGGCGACACACTCCACACTGTGTGGTTACCCCCTTCCTATAATAAGTATTCTGTGTCAGTTCATTAAATAAATATTATTCCTTAAAATACCGTTAGGGATGCCGCTATACCAAAATCAGGATAACGTAAAGCACAAAAATTGTCATTGTATCAGTACAAAGCACCAAAAAATTATCAAGGGACTGAAATGCCTGACATTATCTGTGCTTCAAAAATTGCACTGATTTCTAATGAAATGCTGCGAAATTTTCAATGTTCGCCGAGGTCATGTCCTGTAACATTCTATTTACTATAGGAGGGGGGAGAGTTGAATACAATATGGGCGAGTTTGTCTTTTTTATGTAAGTCCTTTTAAGAAATTGTAATTCTGGGAACTCATGAGTGAAAGTGAAGAAGCATATGTTATAATAAGTCAAACCACTAAATCTGACATATCCAGTGCCGACAAGGCCTTTTGCTCAGTAGCAGGACTTCCCAGGGCGTTTGGGATACGACAGACATATTAGTGATCTAGACACTATATATATATATATATATATATACACATCGTTACTTTTCATGACCCATGACTGTTGTGGTGAGGAATATATTAAGCAAGTGAACTGTCATTGCTATCAATTTTATTTTAAATCGTTTGCAGATCCGATTTTTAGGGTAAAGATTAATAACACAACATCATTTGTTTATTTTAAGTTTAACACCGACTATTTATCTTTTATTATTATCTTATCTGACTTAACTTTACTATCATTCACAAGAAATGGCGAATCAACAAGTTGCTAACATTAACCTTCGCGCAAAACGATTTCAAGTGACTATATTTTTTGGTATACTTTATATTTTAGATTATATCTTTTCCCCAATATTTTCCAAAATTTAGGAGACACAAGTAACAAATAAAAAGCTGGTATACGAACAATTTATTTGGTAACATTTTTTTTTCTGTTTCTATTTCCAAACCAAACCGCTAGGATGACATTAAAACGCTTTGAAATGTTTATTGGTTTTCTGTTCAGCAATCCAGCATCTCGTATCTTTTAAACTGTTGGATATTGTTTTCTTTCTTACAAAATTAATAATTTTTTATGAATATGAGAAAAATTCGAACGTTTCTTTCAAGTTTCTATCCTAAGCGTTATAATTATTAGCTTTGTAGCTCATAAAAAGAAAAATATCAAAATCACGATTTTTTTAAAGGAAATCTTTCATAATAATAATAATAATTGTTATCATTATGAACTCTGAATTATGTATAAGAACCAATGAAATAAATAAAAACATCAATCAGCTGTTGTGATTCTTTTTTTAATTATTATTTAAATGTTTTCCACACTCTAACTTGAAGGTTTTTGAAAACTGTCATGTCTACAATAATGTCGCCAGCATGCACAGCGGGGGAAGGACTTTACAAGCGTGGTTAATCCTCAAATGGTAACATTTCGGCGAGGCCGTCACTCTAGACACTTTAGGTGGTTCTGGCAAGCACATAAACTACACGAAGCCTAAGATCTAGAAGGGAGTGCGGCGGGTGTTCTAAGATTAACAACCAAACACTATGTTCTGACAGGCAGACCCGCCTAACGCTCCACTGTAGCATCTGTTGAGCTTGGAGACCCATTGTAGTTCTCGGACTTTGAAGTATACCGCCTGCGGCGTTAACCCTGCCGGACATTGTTAATACAGAACCGTCAAAGCACACCGCTCCGGGTAGTGGGTTGAGCTGCTCGCTGCGGGCCACCTCTTTCTCCTCCCTCGACAACACACCTGACCCTTCATTACTGCGTTGCACGTGCAGTGGTCCCACGGACGTGTAATTATTACCTTCTGTCTAGCGGACCACAGGACAGCGAGAGATGGTCAACCTGACCTCGAAATGTGAGCCGCAAAGGACCGCTAGTGGCCAGTGATCCCAGGACCCTAGTTCGGCCCAGCACGAGGTCCGTGCCCCAGGCCGCCTTCATTTAGCCCCGGCATGTAGCCTCGTTCATCACCATGCTAATGACAGGGATCAGACCGGGTCTGACATATCTCCTTATAAACACTAAGGGCGCTTCTCTTTGTACTCTATACGACCTTTTGCTCAGTTTGTTTGACGCGTAGAGTAGTCTGGAAAATGTAAAAAGTTCCACGAAGTTTGAAGATTGATTTCCTCAGACATACACACAAACTTGCAATAGATAGGTCTCCGAAATTTCTTTTACAAATGTTATACTTGTTATGTTAATAGCTTAGTGAACTTCTTTACACCAGGGGGAGTTACTGATGGAGTACTTCTGACGAAAGACGGGACTAACAACTGTAGATAAACATAGAAGATAGGGAATTCCTATTTGGATATAGTAATTGTTAATCAAATATCTAAGATGAATTACTCTCGAAATTCTGCCCAGATTAGAGACATTCAGCAGTTCAATTTTAACAAAATATTCAAAAAGAAAAAAACTGATCTGGATTATAACCCACGCTCGTTCTTTCAGAGCAAAGGAAGTATGGGAGCTAATATATGCAAATGAAAATTATTCCAATCACTTTAGTCTTAATTATTCACGTATACTTCAAAGTTTATCCTACAATTAGAATGGTTTATCCTTTACTGTGACCTAAAAACGTCTTTGTTAAGCAGTGGTCAGAAACAATTTAAAAAATATATAAACAGCTACAAAAGAATACTTAAAAAAATAATAATACACCACAATACAACGTTTCTTAACTATTAACGAGACACCATGTGGTACAATACATAACAGTACAACACGTTTATATATATACACCTATTGCTGATGTCATAATATAACCTTGATCTTAAAATCAATATAAATCTATCCCTTTAATTTTACTTATAGGTTTTTTATTTTTAAAATCTAAACGGTTTCTTTTATTTTACGTTTATTAAAGTTACGTTCACAGCAAATAATTTTTATACTTCGATTTCTACTCTATGTTATTGGACGGGCCGGGTGGTCAGGGTGTTTGAATCACAATTTGAGGGTCGCGGGTTCGTATCCCCGTCCCACCAAACATGCTCGCCCTTTCAGCCGTGGGGACGTTATAATGTAACGGTCAACCCCACTATTCGTTGGTAAAAGAGTAGCCCAAGAGTTGGTGGAGGGTGGTGATGACTAGCTGCCTTGTCTCTAGTCTTACACTGCTAAATTAGGAACGGCTAGCGCAGATAGTCCTCGTGTAGCTTTGCGCGAAATTCAAAACAAACTAGACGTTATTGGACGTGAGATGGAATGTATCTGTGTTCTCAATTTCCGCCCAGTCTACACTATGAAAAGACTACTACATACCGTACATTATATACGATAAACACCCTGTTATTCAGTACCAACTGGTTTGATTCTTTTATATATATATATACAAGGTATTAAATAAATGTTACAAAATAATGATATTCGATATTTTCTTGAGAGTTCAATTATGTTTTTATGTTCAGTCGAAACAAGTTACTTCTCGAATTACGTTTCTTGAAAACTTCTAATCTGAAGATACAAAGAAAGGATTGAAATCACACGAAGGGCAAAATGATTC